AGAGGCACTTGAAGTTTGTTTGTTTGTTTTGTCTCCTGTGCCAAAATAACTTACCTGGCTTTGAGTACTATGCACCTTAACCCAGATGTATGGAAGCATTGTTGTCACTCTGCCCCAGTGACAAAACATCTTCATCCCAATAAGCAGTCACTGTTAATGGCTGACACTTCATACTACATTCAAGTACATTTTGCACCGGAAAAGATCTCGAAAATTTAAGAACAGTGCCTGTCCTAGGATTTGAAACAGGGAAAGTGTCACTTGAGAACCCCCATGAGTCTCTTAGTACAGACCATTCTGGAAAAGTGTAGAGGCTGAGCAATGGACACATCTGGGCTGGTGGAAATCCTTATGACATTCTTGTTGGTTTGGATTAGATGACCGTTGGGATAACCTTGAACTCTACAATCCTACAAGAGGATCATACAGCTGTTTATGAAGCATCCAGACCAAATAGTAAGACTTTTAGAACATCAAAGAACTGTACCTTCTATTGTATATATGGTGCCGAACAGACCGCCCCAAAGGAGTGGCTCTATGCCACCCCTTTGCTTGCCGGATTGGGACTGTAGCAACTGCATGCCGCAGCCCCAATCCAGTGCTTTGCTGCTCCAAAAAGAGCTGGCAAATGCTGCTCCTTTTTAGAGTGGCAAAAAGCTGCCCTTGCCACAGCAGCAGTGGCTTTTTAGCAGTCCTTTGGCACTGCGTGTGTGAATGCTGTGCCAAGGGAGCATCCTGATGCCTCATGCCATGCAGTGGGGTGTGCAGCGTGAAGCCGGCATGAAGGCAGAGTTGGGGTGGCACACCCCCAGTCTGCTCCCAGGATGGCTCTTTATGCCAGTCAATTCAGCCCCTACATTTTGTTGTTAACTGCCCTTCAGTCAATCTCAACTCATGGCAGCCCTATGGATGAGACATCTCCCAAACCCTCAGTCCTCCACTGCTCTGCTTAATTCCTGCAACCCGTTAATACCCATGACCTCCTTAATAGACTCCTCCCTTCTCATGATGTGTCCAAAGTACAACAGTCTCAGTTTGGTCATCTTGGCTTCCAGGGAGGTTTCTGGTTTGATCTGCTCTAGGACCCACTTGTTTGTCCTTTTGGCTGCCCATGGGATCCTCACCACTCTTCTCCAACACCACATTATCCCAAATTTATTGATTTTCTTCTTATCCTCTTTCTTAACTGTCCAGCTTTCACATCCATACATGATAATAATAGGGAATACAATGGCTTGTATGATTCTGACTTTTGTGCTGAGTTGTATATCTTTGCATTTTAGAATCTTTTCTAGTTTGTTCATAGCCACCCCTCCCCATTCTTAATCTTCTTCTGATATCCTGACTGCAGTCTTCATTTCTATCAGTGTTTGATCCCAGGTATGGGAATTCTTTGACTATTTCTGTTTCTTCATTGTCTAGGTTGAACTTGTGAAGGTCTTCAGTAGTCATTATTTTTGTTTTCTTTATGTTCAACAGTAAGCCTGTCTTAGGACGTTATCACACGCGGGCCACAAAGCGAAAAGAAAATGAAAAAGAATCAATCCGGAAATAAACCGAAATAAACCCTACATTACGGAAATGGCTATCAGATGCAAGTAGCATCATTTCGCAATTAAAGAAAGCTCTCCCGGGAACCGTATTTGCCGTTCACACACAAGTGAGAAAATCCCGTACATGTACTAGAAATGATCTTCTAGCACATGCGCACTACAGCTGCGTCCGTCACTTGCCGCAGCTGTCACCCCTTCCCAGGTTGTCCTCGGTGCAGCCGGCCCTCCACATGGCCGGCACTCCAAGGAGGACCTCCCACTGCAGCGTTCTCCGAGGAGGTCCTCCTTGGAGCGCCGGCCCTGCGTCGGATTGGCACTCCGAGGAGGTCCCACTTGGAAAGCTGGCTCTTCGAGGAGGTTCCCCTTAGAGAGCCAGCTCTTCGAGGAGGTCCCCCTTGGAAAGCCGGCTCTCCGAGGAGGTCCTCCTTGCAGTGCCAGCCCTGCGTTGGTTTGGCGCTCCAAGGAGGTCCCCTTGGAAAGCCGGCTCACCGAGGATGTCCTCCTTTCAGCGCCGGCTCTGTGTCGGTTCGGCGCTCCGAGGAGATCCCCTTGGAAAGCCGGCTCACCGAGGAGGTTTGTGAGGGGGTCCAGGATGGATCCCCCATGAATCGGAAGGAATGACTGTATATATAAAAGTCTGTTAAGAAAGTAGTAGTAGTGCAGGAGTGTATGTGCATCCATGTGCTGGGTGGTGGTAGTGGTGGCGATAAGGTTGCCTCACTCCTGAAATGTAGCTCTCAGAATTCCTGCATTGGCACCCCCCAAAGTAACTTTTACAAGCTCAGGGCTTGCTTGGTCTCTAACCAAGCCAAAGAGGGCTGAATTCCAGCCCATGAGGCTTAACTGCCTGGTGAATTTCCCTGTACAACATTGCCTAGGCAGTTCCCCCCTTGCACTTTTGTTTTTCCTTTCTTAGGTTCATAGCTTGTGCCAGACCTTCCCAACTATTAAATATAAAAGCCCATGATGGTGCAGTTTCAGGGATACATAGATTGCGCTTTGCTTGGCTTCCAAACAAGCCAAAGTGGGTTGAATTTCAGCCCATGAGGCTTAACTGCCTGGTGGATCTTCCTGTGGAGCACTGCCTAGGTAGTTCCCCCCCCCCTTGCGCCTTTGTTTTTCCTTTCATAGGTTCATAGCTTGTGCCAAACCTTCCCAAGTATTATATATATATAAGCCCATGATGATGGAGTTTCAGGGATGTACAAATTGCCCCTTGCTTGACTTCCAAACAAGCCAAAGTGGGCTCAATTCCAACCCAAGCAAGGGACAATCCAATTCCAATCCCGGTGGATTTCTCTGTGCAGCACTGCCTAGGTAGCCTTCCCCCCCTTGCACTTTTGTTTTTCCTTTCATAGGTTCATAGCTTGTGCCAAACCCTCCCAAGCATTATATATACAAGCCCATGATGGTGCAGCTTCAGGGCTGTACGAATTGTCCCTTGCTTGGCTTACAAACATGGATTGCCTCTTGCTTGGCTTACAAACATAGATCGCCCCTTGCTTGGCTTCCAAACAAGCCAAAATGGGCTCAATTCCAACCCAAGCAAGGGGCAATCCAATTTCAATCCCGGTGGATTTCCCTGTGCAGCACTGCCTAGGCAGTCCCCCCCTTGTGCTTTTGTTTTTCCTTTCATAGGTTCATAGCTATATATATATATGCCCATGATGGTGCAGTTTCAGGGATGTACAGATTGCCCCTTGCTTGGCTTCCAAACAAGCCAAAGTGGGCTTAATGCCAACCCACCAACCCAAGCAAGGGGCAATCCAATCCCAATCCCGGTGGATTTCCCTGTGCGGCACTGCCTAGGTAGCTTCCCCCCTTGCGCCTTGGTTTTTCCTTTTTTCAGGTTCATAGCTTGTGCCAAAACTTCCCAAGTATTACATACAATACATAAGGCCATGATGGTGCAGTTTCAGGGATGCAGGGATTGCACGGCCAGTCCTGGCTCTTTTCATGCCAAGCCCCAAAGGTCTGCCGCTTTCATCCGAAAGAGGTTGCCTTCCCCTGGTCTCCGGCCTCCCCCTCCGCCTTGCACAAAAATGCTGTTTTGTTCCAAAGCCCCCATGCTTCCCAGCCCCCAGCCCCCCTGCACTTCAAACTAGATTCCAACACCGTCCCTGCTGGGCTTGCAAGCTGAACCCAGGTGCCGGGGCAAGGCCACTGAAAACAATACCAGAAGCCCTCGCAAATGGGTGGGAGAGTTTTAGGGCTGGCGTCAGCTAGTCTGCCTCGCTCTTGGCCTCCCTCCCTTTCCCTGGCTCTTTGGCTGCCTTGTGCAGCTGCAGGACACACAATCAAGCGATCAACATTCACCATGCATAATTAGCAATCAGGACCCTGGGTGCATTCAACAGAAGCCATGGCTCCCCATCCCTTCCACTCCACATCTCAGCCCCCATCTCTCTCTCTTTCTCTCTACAACACCCCCCCCCCAACAAAAGAGGCATTATTTTGTAACAACAGATTAAAGAGCAGCATGAAAAATAGCATCTCTCCCACTCTGGAGGAGTGATGTGGGGGGTGGTCAGAAAAGCCAAAAG